ATTAAATAAAGCAATTCTTTCTATACCTAATTATCTTGAATTCGCAATTATTTTTGCTTTACAAATATAAGCGGCAGCTACAATCATAGTTCTAATTGTTTTGAATTATTAAAAATTATTGCGAAAAATTTAAAATCTATTCAAAATTTATGACGTAACGTATTTACGTCAGAATTTGGCACAAAAAAATGTCTTACTTCTGTTGGAATCATTTAAAAATAACCTTGAATTTCATCTAAAGAATCCTTTCTAAAAATAAACTCAATAAATATGAAATGGTGCAATAAAGAGTTAAATAAATAAATAAATAAATAAACTCGTAAATGTGATCGTTTTCGTTCTGTTACTTATTTCATAAGTCTTTATTCTTTAACCATTCAATTTGACATAAACATACACCGTTTGAATTAGAAAGTCATAAGCTCTTTTCATCCCGGTCAGTAGCATATCCTGATCGTGGTCAAGCGGACGACATTGGGGTAAAACATTAGTTAAAAATGTCCCATTCGTGTTTCAACCGTGAAGCAGTTGTGTTTGCATGGCTGTGTTTCGGTTTGAAGGGCAGTCAATTTACAGGGTACATAAGAATAACACCTGAGTCCTTAGAAATAGCAGCGCATGGATGGTATCATGGGCGAAACAGTATACTCTGTTACGTCCATGGTACTGCTCATGTCTATAGGCGACGGTTACCACTTTCCATCAGGTGAACCGTCAGCTTGTTTGCCATTGAAGTTGCATAAAAAAATTAGTTATTAGAAAATATCGATTTATATTTTCATACAGCTAAATTGAACGCTAGTGACAACCATCAAATTGCCACCAATATATTGTAGTTTATCAGTATCTAAACAGCCAAGGTTTATAACTTACTCTTGGCTGAAAGCAATAAAATATAGTGGAATATCCGAACGAGGGCTTTCCAATAGCGATAAATTAGAGATTTCGGTACAATTTTGACAATGCTACGTTAGGGATGTCACTTCAAATTTGAAGCTATATTATTATTTATTTACTATCATATCAACCGGTAATCGTTTAACTGTGTCTCTCAAAATATGAACGAAGCCTAACTGCGGTTGCCAACCCGCCTGCCAAGCGTGGCAACTACTTGCAAAATAGCTCTCTTTATTGGGAAAATCTATATTCAGCAGTGGACGGTTAACGGCTGAAATAATAATATAATAACGTATTTATAAATATATAATAATCTATACTAACATTATAAAGATTTTATTGTTTGTATGTTTGTAATAAATAATCAATCGGTTCATAAATAAAAAAGTTATATCAATCTAAAGAATCACATATAAAATGCTATAAAATAACCGATCAGTTGAATTAGCTAAAACTTTATGAAGGTAGGTTATATTTTTTTTATTATTATTATTTCAGGCCTTAACTGTTCACTGCTGAACATAAGCCTTCTCCACAATGGGAGTTTTGCCAGTATTTGCCACGCTTGGCGTGCGGGTTGGCAACCGCAGTTAGGCTTTTAGAGATGTTTTAAGAAGGACGCTGCTGCCCATCCCTCGCCCACCCTTAGTCGTCTCTTACGACATAGTATATTATATATCATATTTTCATTCATACAGCAGCGCCGTGGGAAACAGCTAGTCTATATAATATAAAACACTAATTCACCTATCTACTCGCGCAAAGCCAGGTCGGATCGTTAGTATTCTAATAAGAAAAACAAATATTTTCCTTTCTTACACAAGCATATTGTAGTAACAATATTCCTTTTGTATCTCCATTCACAAGCGTTTGTCTGTAAAACATACAATTAGATGTCCAACAATGTTGTCTCTGTAGAGACAGATACTCTGTGCTCGAACCCTGTGAATTAGGCGTGTTTATGATACGGTTCAGAGCTTCAACTGTTACTCTGTGATGTGCTTTGTATACACATTAGAGCTCGAAAGCGAAGTACTACGACTATCGTAGACTTTCCAACGAATTAAACCTAAAATTGCAGTACATTCGCTTTGAAGTTGTATGTTCAATTGAATTTTAACTATATTTTGTATTTATGAATGTTTAACGATCCGAACCGGCTTCGAGTAGACAGATATTTTAAAAATCAATACATACAATAAAAAATGTTAAACTGCTACCAAAATTGCGCTATCCCAATCTCTTTCACTCCCAATTCTTGATTATGCCGATACTTGTTGTCTGGATCTTACGGAAGCTCAGCTTAAAAAACTTGAGCGTCTTTGAAATGTTTTTATCATGTTTATTTTCAGTCTTAGAAAATATGATCACATTTCCGAGTTTCTACCTATCAAAGGGTATAGAGAATAAAGAGTATCTATCTAAAAAAAGTTTTAGCCAATTCAACTGATCGGTTATTTTATAGCATTTTATATGTGATTCTTTAGATTGATATAACTTTTTTATTTACGAACCGATTGAAATAAAACAAACACTTAATGTTAAATGGAGCAAACCGCAATTTAGACTATGTACAAAAGTCGTTCGCTTGGGCACCTCTGTCTCATTCGTGTTTCTACCGTGAAGCAGTTCTGTTTGCATGGCTGTCTTTTCGTTTGAAGGGTGGAATATAGCACTGAGTTTACAGGATACAGAGGATTAACACTTGAGTCCTCATAAATGACAACGCATGGGGGGTATCATGGGCGAAACAGTATACTCTGTTATGTCCATGGTAATGCTCATGTCTATAGATGACGGTTACCACTTTCCATTAGGTGGGCCGTCAGCTTGTTTGCCATTCTAAGTTGCATAAAAGATACTTTAAAATTATTTAAGGCCATAATCACTCGGGATATGATAATGATGAATTCCAGTGATACTCCATACCTCTAAATTTGTTCAGGCATTTAGAGGTTATAATGGAATAAAGACACTCACATATACCCTAAAAACATTACGCTCCTTTTTTGTGCAGTCGTGTAAATATTACCTATTAAATACTTAATAAAAACGTTTCAGTGACATTACAAATGATCGACATCAGAATCGATACAATTCAACCATTTCTCTCATCCTCTCTCCATTCAATAATTTAATTATGATTTTATTCGGGAAGAAAGAGGGCTCTTAATTCGATTTTGTTCTTAGACTGGTACATTTTAAACCGATTTCGATGATTATTTATGCATTCGGCAGGATTATACTTATTTATTAGTACTATTTTAATTTTGTCATGATAGAAATAATTCCTTCGGTATTGCGGGTGCTCATAGGCGGCGGTAGTCACTTACCATCAAGTGAACCGCATGCTTGTTTGCCATCTGTGTTTTTCACAAAAAAAGTCTCTTCTTTTAAAAAGCATTTAACAATGATATTTTAAATATATCAACACACTGTATATACATAATATTTGAGCCCGACACTGCCTCTTTACATTGCACAAATATAAACAATGTTACGAGAAAGTTGACAAAGATACAAAGCCAGTTTGCATAAGTCCTGTTCTAGTCATCTCGTTACGCGGTTGACTGTACACAAAAGTTGTTTTCGAAATAAATCAGAATATTCATGTTCTGTTAACCACAAACCATGAAATGTAAAATTTAAATATTATATGAAATTCCAAAATGATAAAATAAATATAAACGTCGAATGGTTCTTTTCAAACTTCAATTTGACTGGAAACAAGAATATTTAATTATTATCAGTATTTTGTTTTGATGGATGAAAATTGTATGGTAACCCCGCCTGCGCTAACGGGATACGCTGGCGGAGCACCAGTGAAGGGTGATCGATGAGAATGAAAACAGGCCAGTTAGCCCATCATGATGAATTCATCAGGAATTAACCATGATAGTTTCCAGGGAGAACCGCGAGGAGGTCGACCTGACAGGGTGTATTGTTAGTAATAGGACTACTAATCCCCATAATTAACAATCCCTTTAACCCTAGTTTAAAAAGTTTTTTTAATGGCTGAAAATGGCATGGTAACCCCGCCTGCACTAACAGTATACACTGACGGGACACCAGTGAGAGGTGATAGGTAAGGATAAAAAGGCAGGTCCGTTAGCCCATCTTGATTACAACTCGATGTTTCCAGAGAGAACCACGAGGAGGTCGACCTGACAGGGTGTATTGCCAGTAATCCCCATTATTAACAATCCCTTTTCCCCCCAGTTTAAAAGGGTTAGGTAGTTTGTTACCTTTTGACATCTTAATAGCTCCCAATCGTCATAAAACTTTATAAACACGTTTTATTAAGGATGAAGTTATAAGCTTATGGGAGTCACGTGAACAAAGTCACGGAAAAATATAATATACTTATAATGATGGCAATTGTGGACGAAAGGGTTATATGCTGGCATGGAAACACGGTGTTTTTAAAAATATAATATAATTATATAAAAAATATACAATACAAACCAAGAGTAACTTAAAATCACAAACAAAAACTTCTTTTTAATAAAATTAAAAAGGAAACTAAAAAAGGTGAGGGGGAGACTTTGTACAAAAGTCGTTTGCATGGGTACCTCTCTCTTATTCGTGTTTCTACCGTGAAGCAGTTGTGTTTGCATGGCTGTGTTTCGATTCGAAGGGTGGGATATGGCGTGAATTTACAGTGTACAGAGGGATAACACCTGAGTCCTCAGGAATGGCAACGCATGGAGGAAATCACGGGCGAAACTGTATATTCCGTTATAGGCAGCTCTAGAGACGGCTCTGTTATAGGCGGCAGTTACAGTCGGCTCTTACGACACCCACCGGATAGAAAAGGCTGGCCTATTCTATGCCAGGACCACACGCCTACCGTTATGCAGCTACGGTTTAGCTATTCAAGCATTAATAAACTTAGTTTTCAGTAGAACTGTGTCCCTTTAAGATAAAATGGTCACATGTCGTGCTATAAGAAAAAAAAAATTATAAACTTTCACACTTATATATTTAATAAATAATGTTGCCATTTAAATACAAAAATATTGAATATGATAAATTTATTTATTTTTGTTATTACTGATGATCATACTGAATATATTTTCTGAAAATCAATTTCTTGTCCTCAGATGGCGCACTCCGGGGGGAGGTAGAAGCGCGCGGGCGCGGTACGGAGTCAGCGTTTCTCCATGAGCTCCATTCGACGCTGGCGCCCGCTGCCGTGCCCGACCACGACTGGCAACACACCCTCACGCTCATCCTCAAAGGCCTCGTCTTCGCCACGATCATCCTCGGCGCCATATTTGGCAACGCCCTTGTCATCATCTCCGTTCATAGGCACAGGAAACTTCGGGTGCTCACCAACTACTACGTCGTCAGTTTGGCCGTCGCGGACATGCTTGTGGCTCTGTGTGCGATGACGTTCAATGCGAGCTCAGAACTCACTGATGACTGGCTCTTCGGTCCATTGGTCTGCGATGTATATAACTCATTAGATGTCTACTTCTCTAGCGCTTCCATTCTTCATCTCTGCTGTATATCGGTAGACAGATATTATGCTATCGTCAGACCTTTAGAATACCCAGTCACGATGACCCACAGAACAGTCTGCTTCATGCTGGCGAACGTTTGGCTATGGCCAGCTTTTATCAGCTTCGTGCCGATCTTCATGGGATGGTACACAACAGAACAGCACAGACAATATAGAAAAGCAAATCCAGATGTGTGTATCTTTAAAGTGAATATGGTCTACGCAATAGTTTCTTCTAGTGTCTCATTCTGGATACCGAGTCTTGTCATGATATCAATGTACTGCAGGATATTTAGAGAAGCAATAAGGCAAAGAGAGGCATTAACAAGGACATCATCAAACATACTCTTGAATTCAGTTCATATAAAGCATACGTCGCATTCCGCACACCACTCACATTATCTGCACCCTGATAGAAGACCATCAGATATCAGTCCAAATTACAGTACGTTTACAGAAGTAGGTCCGGAAGAAACGGAGTTTGGCGGTGAAGTTGTGATGTCGCTGGGTGATATATGTCCCAGTAAAGAGGCAAGCCCGAGGAAGTCCGTGAACGTTAGTTGTGATACGGCAAGCTCTGGATATTGTTCAGGAGGATCTAACAAGAGGTCTTCTAGTGGACAACCGCCTACTGGTTGGAGACCGAGCTGCTCATCTGCTGTAGCTACCAGAGATTTGGCGAAGGCAGCCACGGAGCTAAATGCACAAGGTAAGTACGTGCAAAGTTATATAAAATTATATATATTACATATATATACGTTAACTATGCAGTGTCAAGTCTAAATTCGAAATAGTATACTCTGTTATGTCCATGGTACTACTCATGTCTATAGGCGACGGTTACCACTTTCCATAAGGTGGGCCGTCAGCTTGTTTGCCATTCTAAGTTGTATAAAAAAAATTAAGGAAATGTTCTAAAAATAAAATTGAATGACTATCTTAAAAGGTTTCCTTTAAACATGGGTTGACAAATGACAATTTTAAGCTTCTCACACTAACAAGGGGCATATAGCTATTAGGTTTCCCGAGATAGACTTCGTACGAAAATTACCTTTATGGATAACCCCTTCATGGATAGACCTTCACTCTCATCCATATTTCTGCCATGAAGTAACTATGATTCCATGACTGTTTCGATTTGATGGTGGATGGAATATAGTAGTGAAATTACAAGCTACAGAATCATAACACCGTTGTTCTCTAAATTGGCAACGCATGAGGTGGGTACACCTCGTGCGTTGCCCATGGTAATGGGTATCACAGAATACTTTATATATATACCAGTACCTTATGTTGTTGTGTGGCCCTGGTATAGAATGGACCATCACTTTCTTTCTTACGAGTACCATAAGAGACGACTAAGGAAACTTAATGGTCGAGGCTTGAGCAGCAGCGTTCTGCTTAAAAATTCATCAAAATCCAACCTGCGGTTGCCAATCTACTTGTCAAGCATTGCAACTACTGGCTAATCCCCCAAATTATAAACTGTAATAAGAAACAGCCTTATGAAATGATCAGAAACCTATGTCCAGCAGTGGGCAAATAACAGCTCGAATGATAAAGATATTTGTTTCTTTATTTCTATCTCATAATATTAACATATTCCTATAACATAGTGAGAACTTATTTAATACAACTGAATATTTCATATGTCTGAACCAATATATGTAATAATTTATGAGTGAACCGAGACCAAACTTTCATGGTCGAATAATTATTCATACATCTGATAGCAGAGCGCGACCCATAATCGAAGTTTCCTACGTGAGACATGATTTCTTAATATTTAGTTATTTTCCGTATGATTTCATTTCTTGGTCAACAAACAGATAATCCTTACATTACGGGAGGAAAGGGTTAGTAATGGAGACTGAGAATCCCATTGCTAGTAATATACCCAACCAAGTCGACCTCCTCGCGGTTCCTCCTGGAAACTATCATGGTTAATTCCTGGTGAATTCATCATGATGGGCTAACTGGCCTGTTTTCATTCTCATCTATCACCCTTCACTGGTGCTCCGCCAGCGTATACCGTTAGCGCAGGCGGGGTTACCATAATATTTTCGCCCATCAAAAAAAAATCCTTACATTACGGTTTTGATTCTATTACTCTTTCACTATACGAGTAATATATTAAATTAAATCTATCATCATCATCATTCTATCAGCCTTTAACTGTCCACGGCTGAACATAAGCCTTCATCTTGGAAGGTTTTACCAGTAGTTGGCACGCTTGACAGACGGATTGGCAACCGCAGTTAGGCATTTAGAGATGTTTTAAGAGGGACGCTGCTGCCTATCCCTCGCCCACCCTCAGTGGCCTCTTACGACACCCACGGGATAGGAAGATGTAGCCTATTCTATGCCAGGGCCACACGGCTACTGTTCTACAGCTACGGTTCAGCTATTCAGGCATGATTATTAAACTCAGTTTTCATTACAATTGTATCCTTTCAAGATTACGATACCCAAGGGAAAGAAAGGTGTGGTCTACCATATACTATAGTCCCGGTCACACGGACAAATCACCCGTAATAATTGCCAATAATTATTTACGGCTGTAATTTTTTTTGCACTACTATTGCTCAATCACTACTTCCTATGCCACTCTGTTAGGTTGACTGGAAGAAATCTCTTTTAGAGATAAGTTCGCCTTTGCTAACATTGTTATTAACTTATTGTTGTTACTGTATGTTTTAGTACAATTGTACATGATAATTCTATGCACTTATACATATGTGTATATATTTATCTATTTACTTATTTATTTATTTATTGTATATATAGGGTTTGTTGTATTTACATTATTTAAACTTGTACGAGTACCTTTCCTGCACTCCAGTGCCCAAATTAAATTATTTTCTCTCTAACTACACTGGGTTGACTGGAAGAGATCTCTTTCAGAGATAAGTCCTCCCTTGCTAACAAGTTGTTAAACTAATCGTCGCATACATTGTTTAAGTGCAATAAAGAATATATATATATATATATATATATATATATATATATATATATATATATATATATATATAAAATGATGGTGAATCATATTCGAATTTTTAAATCTCAAATAAAGATAAACGTCTGTTTTCAATAGCTCTTGTAATATTTTAAGAGGAAAGCAAATAATGCCTCAAACGACTCCTGATGAATACATTACTGTAACAATGACTTGCCGAGGGGCAACAGCGTCAATAATTTAGAAATATAGGGCCATCAGCTACATTCAAATGTCAAGGGTGCATGAATAACCCTTAATGACATTACCAAAGGTCGTCCCGTCTTCAGTACTGAATGTAATTTTTAATGTATCCTTTTATAAGTCTACGAGTATAATGTACCTACCTCTTTTTTTTTTTGATGGGTGAATGGTATGGTAGCCCCGCCTGCGCTAACGGGATACGCTGGCGGAGCACCAGTGAAGGGTGACAGATGAGAACGAAAACAGGCCAATTAGCCCATCATGATGAATTCATCAGGAATTAACCATGATAGTTTCCAGGGGGAACCGCGAGGAGGTCGACCTGATATATTGTTAGCAATGGGATACTCAGTCTCCATTACTAACAATCCCTTTCCCCCTACCTACCTCATTTTAACATATAAGTCGAAGCTAAAAGATTTTTACTTATAAACTAGCCGTTTTCCGCGGCGTTGCCCGCTTCTAACTATGTAGTTCCCGTATATCATTGCCATTGGAAATCATCATGAATCTGGACTTATATTGTGTTGTATAATCAAATAATAATTACGTATCTAATACCTTCACAAAGTTTCAGCCAATTCAACTGATCGGTTATTTTGTAGCATTTTATATGTTATTCTTTAAATCGATATAACTTTTTTATTTATGAACCGATTGAAACAGAACAAACACTAAACGTTAAGTAAAGTAAACCACAACATGTTAGTGAAAACCACCTTTAAATTGGTTAAACTGTTTCTAAACTGTGAGATTAGCCTGCACAAACGTACAGACAAACAGACAAAAATTCTAATAATCATTGTTTTGGGTTCTATTGCGTTCATAAAGTCCCCTTATAATAGTGTTTTATACATCTTCCATGTACAGACAGCGACCAGTGACGATTTTATTATATGTATTAATGTAAAACTTCACGTTTAGCTCTTAACGCATCAATGGCTTAACCAATTCTCATGTAATTTAATATATGCGTAGTATTTGGGTTGGAGAATGATATAGGCTACATTTTACGCAAATGAAGTCATTAGCACAATTAATACAAACATCATCGTCATCATATCAGCCGTCATCTGTCCATTGCTGAGCATAAGCTTGTCCCATAAAGGGAGTTTTGCCTGTAGTTGGACTGGTTGGCAACCGTAGTTATGCTTTGGTGATATTTGAAGAGGAACTGCCAATCCCTCGACAATTAGGGTCCCTTAATTGCCTATTACGACACCTATAGAAAAGGAAGATGTAGCCCATTCTATATCATCCTGGCATAGAATGGACCACCCCCAACAGCTCTCTTTAAATATTATCTTTAAACATCTTAACACCTGAGTCCTCAGGCAACGCATGGGAAGTATCATGGGCGAAAGAGTATACTCTGTTATATCCATGGTATTGCTCATGTCAATAAGCGACGGTTACCACTTTCCATCATTTGGGCCGTCAGCTTGTTTGCCATCCTAAGTTGCATGAAAAAAATCACCGAAGCCGAACTGCCTGCCAAGCATAGCAATTACTAGCAAACCTCCTCAAGGGGCAGACCTCTGTTCAGCAAAGAACAGCTAAAAGCTTATGTAATACAATACTTTCGAGTACCTTCTTCTTCAAGACGGAAAAGGCGAAAACATCCGCTAATTGGCATCCGGTGATCCATCAACACCTACAACGACACAATACAATGGAAATAATGTCCTATTGTATTCGCCTTTGCATCTATCAAAGCGAACGGCTTGCAAGGCAACCCTTTTTTTTTATATCGTCAATAAATTGTATCAGATAAGAATACGCCGTGGCGCGGCCCTGTTTCCCTTTTCCTTAACTTGTCAATATTTTCCCAATACTCGAGTACTGAAGTTTACGTTCGTAGATAAGAGGAAACAAACGGCGCAAGTTTCGAGTGGCCATACAGGTCGTTTAATTATGTGTACCTACTGGAGTTTAGGCAACCGTTTGCGTATTTAAATATTAGCTGCTTCCCGCAGTTTTACCCGCATTTATCAGTATAATAAGTATTCTAATGTTTAGTTATAAATATAACCTATTTGCGTGTATCAAATTTATTTCCATTAAACTTTTTTTTTATACAACTTAGAATGGCAAACAAGCTGTCGGCCCATCTGATGGAAAGTAGTAACAGTCGCCGATAGACATGAGCAGTACCATGGACATAACAGAGTATACTATTTCGCCAATGATACCCCCCATGCGTTGCCATTCCTGAGCACTCAGGTGTTATTCCTCTGTATCCCGTAAATTCACGCCATATCCCACCCTTCAAACCGAAACATAGCCATGCAAACACAACTGCTTCACGGCAGAAACACGAATGGGACAGAGGTACCCAAGCAAACGACTTTTGTACAAAGTCTCCCTCTGGTATAAGGTAATCAACTAATGTCCAAATATAGTACAAAAAAGTATGTGATGGTCCCCCCCTTTGTGCCCCTGTGTAAACCCTTATATAAAATAACTACCCTCAAAACTAAGCTACACATGGAAAACCTACAAAGCCT